CTCAGTTTTGATTTCAATTCAGGCGAGCGTTTGCATTTCAATCTTGTGCTGCACGAGTTAGTCGACACGGTGGGAGCCTCGCTGTAGCTTGGATGGCCCATCGCAGTGATGCATGATTAGGACTTGTCAACGCTGCCACGGCGATATGTATGCACATTAGCACAATTGCCCAATGTCTGCATTGCGACAACTACAACCTGTTCTTTGCAAAGGCCACTGGGCTACCCCTCTTTCAGCGCTCCCCGGAGAGGACAAAGGATCAGAGGGCTCTCTTCGCTCTCCACACTTGCCGAAAAGGTAGAATACCTTGGAGCCCCCCGCGAGACATTTCAATTCATGCGTTCTCAACTATCATCGGACGCTGTAATCGCGAGCATCCTTCAAATCCCACCAACTCTGGAGCACCGGCACTGTCGCCAAAAAATTGGGTCTCTGCGCCCCAGCCTGAGAAATCCTCTGTGCCAGAAAACGCCCTGCTCGCCGCAAACTTCACGGATCTCACGAATACTCCTCGCCCAGTGACAACTTCAAGCCCCTGGCGAGCTTGGACGGAAACTCCAGCCCGTGAGGAGCTCCATACGCGTCCCGCTCGACGTGACCGAGGTGAACATAATCAGGCGCGCTGTATCCTCTAAAATCGTGGCCACTCCTGCCAGGGTGCTCGGGTGATCCATGGGCCCTCTCTTCGGCACGGTGAGTGCCATATCCGTAGCGACGTTCGCCAGGGCGGTGACCCACTTCCCGGACATCCCCCAGACGGTGCACGTATCCACCATCGTGCGTCCCCACCTCGCGACCTCTTTTCTCCTCCGCATACCCCTCCAGCCACAAGCGGTCCCGCTCCGCCTTTCGGGGGCGCCCTGGACCCCCGTGCGCCGCCCAAAACCCCTCCCCACCATCAAACCCCATCGGCACGGGAGACGAGTTTACGTACGAATCCTTGAATTCGACGTCTCCATGGTTCGTCCCGAGGAATTCCGTGCCGTGGTCGTCGATCCAGTCTCCCAGATAGGACACGGGCAGCTGAAAGGGGACGACGTAGAAGGTGAGGTAAGCCTCGCCCCGGTTGCAGATCTCACCGCCAGACAGTCCGCGCACGTGGCGGCGCAGGCGCACGGTCACGGGGCCGTAGTGCCGCTCCTTGAGGCCCAGAGCCACCATCTGGACGCGGTCGTTGCCGGGCAGGCGGGAGGCCACGAGGTCGTGGTCCAGGGCCCCCGACACGTCGAAGTCACGGGCGCCCAGTGTGGGCAGCCTCTGCGTGCTGACGACGGCGAAGTGGGCGGCGCCGGGGCCCGTCACTGGGAGGCCGTCCTTGATGAGCGTGGAGCTGGCGTACAGGGACACGGTGGGCCTGCGCGACAGATCGAATTGCGGCCGGCGTTGCTGGCAATTGCTAGTTTACGATCTGGCCAGTCACCGGAATTGCTCGAGCAAAAGCATTTAAAGGTCATGGAGGAATCCAAAATGTGACATTTGCGTTGGGATGCTTGCTGCCGGCGCGTGGACTTTGGGCCGTAAGATGAAGAAGGGATGGTCTGAGGCTGTGTGCATCGCGCTGCGCCTGGACCCAGCGATTTCGTGCCCCTAACGGAAGTGCAGCCCAACCTACGTTGCCTGCGTTCTGACTTGATTTCATCGATCCAGATTCGGCGATCGACAGATTCAATGTGAAAGCTCTTGATTCTCCTGCCTCCCACCTGAAGTCTCCACAGGCGCACTGTGCAGTGTCAGGGCACCCTCCTTGGCTACATTGGTCGTATCTTAGAGACTGATGAACACCATCCTCCAGGAACATGCCCCCTGCGCAAGGAAAAGTCATTTTTTCAATTCGGTTTTTCTAATTGCGGTGCTCCCTGTGGAGAGCATCTGGTACTCGTTCATCCTGGTCAGGAGGTGCCGTGAGCGTTTTAGAAACATCAATTGATTGTTCGTTGGTATCTCCATCTCTCCCATTCTATCTCCCCCGTGCTAGGTCTTCCACTGTTGGCCCTAGTTTTCCACAACTTGACAAAATCTGCTGACACTCGCTACAACATCCGGGCGCGCACAATGGCGTCGTAATCTACAAGGTGCCCATGCGCGTGCAAGAAGCTTGTACCAATACAAAAACTCCGAAAATTTGTTTGAATATACAAATGGATGTCCGCATGCAACGATGTGGGTGATTCAAACAATCATGCACCCATTCCCAAATTCTGCCCCGATATTAAGATTTTCACGGGGCAGCCATGCAATGGGCCTTGAAATATGTCCAAACTGATTGGACGCTGGCATCTGTCCTTCACCTGGGCATTTCCAGATCCAATCTTCCCTCTCCTCATACCCATGGCTATGTCCGCGGCCGTGTATCTTCTTGCATTTTCCTTGGGTAGCAGACTGCGTGAGATGGACGACTTCCGGGAAGGGAACGTATGCTGGGCAGTCTCCAGATTTGCATGATGCAGGAAGCAGCTATAGGACACAGTCGAGTTTTTCATGTTCAGTCATGTTCGGGTACAGGCCAGGGCGCATGTGCAACAGTGTCGGCGCAAGCCAAAGGCTCTGTGACTAAATGACAGAATTCCAGATCATAGTTCTTGAGGCGTTTAGGGACATGTTGTGCAAATTTAAGGTGTATTGACAGCAGTCGTACACATTTTCGCACGTGCATCGTGCATACCGGTGCGCAAAATTGTTCGTGCTGTGATAGTGAATAGTGATGGTGAATAGGTTTCAGTCAAATCGACATCCTTGCACAGTCGACTTGAACGCCGATTTATACACAGAACCTTTATTCACCACCCTGTGTTCTTGGCATTGACGAACAATTTAGTTCTTCGAAATACTTAGCACTTGATCCGCAATCAATACGAAGATACTCACGTGATCACATTCGGCGCTGTCCACGCAAGAGATGTCTTCGTTGCACACAGGATCGCACTTGCGGTTGGAGATTGCGTCGAAAAGCCCCGCGTCCACAATGATGTCGCCTCCATTGCAAACATACCTATAGGAAAACAGCAAACCTCACTCACATGTCCGGCAAGCAGTTTTCGCCATGGAATTGCGGCCACATGCTGACACAAGCAAAACCACAAATAGCAATTTCTCGCAATCTTTCCCTTTCACACATGCAAGTTGTGGCCTCCACACGTCATTTATATGGCGCATGGATACGGATACCGTGAGATGCGCTGACGCGCACTGATGGCTTCACCAAAAGAGCACCTTCCTTCACAAACCAACCCTGCACGCGACAGGTCCGACCGGCCCAACAAACCCACTTCTTCTCCTTGTACAATCCGAAGTACTTCCAGGCGCAGCGCCCGCCGAGCACAGCCTCCGCCATGCGCCCAAACGACTCCCCAGGCAGGTGCCGCAGCTCTACTTCCCTTCCGCCCTCCCTTCCTCCTTCCCCTTCCCGCACCTCCCCTTCACCGCCGCCCCGCTTCCCCTCGGCCGGTCCCCCGTGGTGATAATCACCCGGGTGCTCCACCCTGCACACGTACTCCATAATCCCCGTCTCCGAGCACTCTCCGGCGCATGCAACCTCCTCCTCACAGACGGGCCTGCAGGTGTGGTCCCTGATGCCTGAGAGGAGCCCCTGCCCGACGAGCTTGCCGCCGGGGAGCTCATACGTGGCTTCCTCGCCGCCGCTGTATATCCGCCTGGCGGTGCCCCGGCTGAAGGAGAACGCCAGTTCCTGAAAGTGGTCGCGGGGAACGATGCGCTCGCCACACCGCCAGTGGGAGACGTCCCCCTGGGGTCCGCATGGGCTCGGCCCGCACTCCTGGATCTCGGAGACCTGGTGAAGTGAAAGGGGTTTCGTCACGGGCAGGGATTCCGCCATCAGTATTGATTCTGGGTCAGGAGCTGTGCGCTTCCTGGCGCTGTGGAACCGTACTGTTACCTCCAACAGTACAGTGTAGTAGCAGTACAGCGGTACAGTGCAGCCAAAATGGCTTTGGCCTGTCGTGCAAACGTCGACATTAGTGCAAAGGAGCGGACGCATTTATTCAGCCTGATCGTTGTTGCACGTATTTTGCCTTCACCGCAGGGAAGAGGTGGTCCAATGCAAGGGGGCCCTGGCTTTGTGCGAACGCCAACGCCGAAGCCGCAATCAACAACAGTGAGCCGCCCAAGGACCAGTACGCAACAGAGCAAACTGAGTACTTCCTCCGTCCCAAATTAATTGTCGTCTATCTCAAAGGCTAAATTTGTTATGAGGACAGCTTCAGAATTTTAACACAAGGTCGAAATCGAAAATATAGCATCTCAAAACCCTCTACTAACAATTTTCAAAAAGTAAAAGTGAGACATGACCCTTTTGAGCGCAAGAAGAAGGTAAATTTTGGTTACTTTCGACCCCATATATTGAGATTTATTATGTAAAAAGACCCTTGATACAAAGTACTATCAAATACCCAATAATCAGTGGATTGACTTGAAATTTTCAGGTGTATTTCCAACTCAAAAAGACAACCGTAGGCAAAATTTCATTAAAAAAAGGTGCGACAATGATGGAGAAATAATGCCCCAAAATCATTGACGACAATTAATCTGGGACGGAGGAAGTATATGTTGTGGCGCTTGCGGAAGACTGCTTTGAATCCATTTGCAGATAAAATCGCACAGTCTCATAACTCACATCCTCGGACATAGGAGGAATGGAGTGATGGAAATCGCCAATTTACAAAAATATTTCATGCGGAAGAACGTTTCACAATATCTTGCGTTCCATAGTCGTCTAGCACAATGATTAAGTCACAACGGCACTCTTACTGCATGTCGCGCCTTATGGCACCTTCCAGTTCTCAATTTACCATTTCAGGAGATGATCACAAATATACACTAAATGGAGGCACAGCAAACACACGTCCAGAATAGCCAGTTCCGCCATTTCCACCTGGCACTCCGCGGCGCATCTCCCTTCAGCTATGGCATCCGCCATCCGCTGCTTCACCGTGACTGTCTTGTACCCGTACAGTAGCGAAAGATACCATTCACCCTCAACGTCATGCTTCCCCTGCAGCTTCCCGTATTTCAGGGCGTCGACCAAATCTTGGTACTGTTGAGCTCCGTACACCTCCTTCCGTCCCCCCGCGGCTCCACACACCCACTGCATTTCTTTCCGCCCAGGGTCGTCACAGGGCTGAGCGCAGTACTCGGGCTGGGCGCCACACTCGGCCTGGCACTCTTCTCCCAGTATTTGATGCAGCGTGGCGGTTTGAATCTGGTGCAAAAACCGAAACTGAGACACCGTATCTCCTCTGCTTTTCCTGCGCCCTGGAGCTACTACAGGGTGCTCAACACGAGAGTTTACTTTATTAATATTGAGCTGAAATATGTAGACTAACCTAATTGAAACAAATTTCATGTATAGTATAATAGGGTTTGCTAATTAGCAAACTGTCTACCGTAAAGATGCCATCTGTGCAGCGTGGCAGGGTGATTCCAGTTGGTGAACCACTGAGAAATGTGGATATTGGAAGGAAATCCCAAGGTGCAGCACCTGCAGTTGTTTTTTATGCATTTTAGTTGAAAAGCATAAGTGCTACAAAAGCCGAGCTTCGCTAGTGCAGCAGGAACAAATGCATGCTGGGCGCATTAACTATTTGGATATCACCATATGGTGATCATTGGTAGCATGTGCTGGCACAAGTTACCAACTAAAACTACTTTAAGTTTGTTTTCACAGCTTTCAAATCATTTCCTCGTTGTTCGCGTCATCTCAATGACGCGCGAAATTCGTAACATGACATAAACAAGCCATTGTGCATTATACATACATTATTTTCTCCCTGGATTCTTTGCAAAGGCTCGGCATGCCACACGTCGTGATGAGCGATCATGCGAGATGACCCAAGTTGAGCGAAAGGCAGCCGCCCCACCCACCTTGACACCGTTCTCGTACCACCGCGTCGACAGACCGCCGTACCCCACGGTCTTGTACGGGGTCCCCTGCTTCACCGTCCACAAGATCTGTTCGAATTCTTCCATGGAGTAGTGATCGCGGCACATGGTGCCGGGGCACACATACGAATATGCGTCTCCCCGGTCATTACAAGAGCAGACTATGTCTTCGGCCTCCCTTTGAGGATCGGGAAATACGAAGCGGTACTCGTCGAACGTTCCCTGACTCAGCAGGGACTCGGGAATTATATATTTCCCTCCGAGGCAGTTCCAGTGCTGTTCTCCAGAGATGACCCTGTACCGGTTGCAGTACCTAGGAACGCGCCCATGGGGATCCTCCAACTCTGCGCGGCAGGACACTGGAGCTGTTTTACATCCGCCAGGGCGTCGCTTCCTGGAAAGCGTGGATAATGACAGGATGGCTTTCAGCGGTGCTCTTTTTGAAGTGCGGATTTCTGC